ATTTATTCTGGTGTAATATGTCATTTAAAGCCAATATTTTCTTATCCATTTTCTGTCTAGATGATCTGTCCTTTGATGTAAGTGGGGTGTTAAAGTCCACTACTATTTTTGTATTACTGTCAATTTCTCCCTTTATGTCTATGAATATTTCCCTTTATGTGTTTAGGTACTCCCATGTTGGATGCATATATGACTATGACTGTTACTTCTTGTTGGATTGAGCCCTTGATCATTATGTAGCACATTTTTTGTCGTAACAGTATTTAAAGTCTATTCTGTCTGATATAAGCACTGGCATCCTGGCTTTATTCTATCCTATTTTCATGGAATATGCTTTTCTATCCCCTCACTTTGTCTGTGTGTGTGTCTTTAGATGTGAAATGAGTTTCTTATAGGCAGCATATATTCGGGTCTTGTTTTCATATCTATTCAGCCATTCTATGTCTTTTGATTGGAGCAGTTACTCTACTTACATTTAAAGTAATTATTTATTTCCTGGTTATCCAGTTGTTGACCCCATGTTTCCAATGCAAGGGCCACAGGTTCAGTCACTGATCAGGGAACTACATGGGATGAAATCCTGCATATCATGTAGCACAGCCCCAAAAAAACAGATTAAAAAAGATACTCTTCATTGTTATATATTTATTGCTATGTTGTTAATTCTCTTTTGTTTGGTGAAGCTTTTTTAAATTCCTTTTTCTCTCTTCCTTTGTAATTTGATGGCTATTTTTAGTGTTATGTGTGGAGTCCTCTTTTTTTCTGTGTATAACTACTATAGATTTTTTATTTCTGGTTACCAAAATGTTTATATATAGTAATATATATATATGAGCATATATGTGTATATATATATTATATAGTCATTTTGAGTTGATTTTTTAAGTTTGAATGAATTTTAACAACTCTGAATTTTCTCCCTCTCCCCAACATATATGACATGTTTTATAGTCAAATCCTGACTTGGCTGGCTGAGAGGTGTCCTCCCAAGGTGTTCTGGAGCCGCTGTAGGCCTGCTGTAAGCCAGGGCCAGACCCAGGGCATTCCTGGGTGGTGCCAATCTCCTGGTGGGTAGGTTGGGTATTGACATAGCTGGGCCTGGGACTACTGTGGTCCTGGGGAGGTTGTTTTGCCTGCTAGTGGGTGGGACTAAGGCACAGGGTTCCTGCGGGGAGCTCAGCCCTTAACAACAAAATCCAGCAGCTCAGAGGCAATTACAGAGAACACAGAGACTACAACCAGAGAAAAGCCTGTGAGGACAGGACAGGGGGAGAGCTGGGAGAGCAGGGATGGAGCCGGGGGCAGGGCAGATGGCTGTTGTCTGTGTCCTCAGGGCGAAGTAAGCAGCTGACAGTGTCGGGGTAGGTAAGGTCACTTTCCTCTAAGGTGCAGACTGGTCAGACACCACATGCTGTGACCAGCATCCTATTTCAGGAATCGCCTGTGAGGTTCCTGGGCATTTATCTGGGGATCTGTGTATCTAGTGTCTGCAAGCAATTTCTGTCCTGGTCACCTGATCCTCTCTCGGGTGCTTCCTTCTTCCCTCCAGGTCTCGAGTCTTGCACCTCCGCCACCTGACCTAGACTTTAGGGGGAGAAAATTAGACAAATCCACTACAACCTTCTTCAGTATTTCCCCATACTGAAGGGAAAAGCCCTCTGTCCTGGAAGCTTCTTACCTTCTCTTCTCCCTCCAGCTCTGCAGAATGTTTCAATCACTTGGGGACCTCTAAAATCCTCTGATGACTGGGTTCCCTCCCCACTGGAGACTGTATGAGTTGGGTTTATAGCCAGAGCTGTGGGGTTTTGAATAGAAGCCAGTGTGAGAAGCACTGCTTTAGTTCTTGAGCTGCAGGTGTCATCCTTGACTTAAGTAATAAAAAGATATCTTTAGCAATAGACATCAAAATATCAAAATGAGTTTGTTTTTTAATATGAAAAAACCCCAGCCTTGATTTTTAAATATATCCCCAGTTATCAACAGACATACTTGCTAATAATGAGGGTTTCCTCTCCATGTACCCAGACTCTCATGAATTCTCCACACATCTTCTGGTAATTGCAGGCACTGCCGATTCCCATCCAGAGAAACCTGCCATAGGAAATGAGGGGCCCAATTCCCAGAAAGTAGCCAGGACCTAGGAAAGTCATCAGATCACAATCAGTATTTCAGCACCACTCAAAAGAGCAATTGCTTAAGATATTGCTGTTCTTGTTCCTATAAATCCAAATGTCCTTTTACATCTTCTGGTGTATGTAGGTGAGTCACACACACAAAATAATTAAAACAACAACACAAGTTAACATGAGGCTCTTCATAGCTCTATGAATTAAAAGTAGTCCAGATTCTGTACCTTACCACTTCCTTTTGATCTTAATAATTTCAGTCTGAATGGACCGGAATAGATGTCTACTATATTCTTGCTGTGTTAAATGGTATCAGTGGTGTCAGATACAAGTCAATCAGTCCCTCTGAGAATAGGAATGAAAATGAGGACAAGTGACAAATTGACAGATTTGTCTGGTTGCCGAGTTTTGTCTGAAAACTTTGGATTTGAAAGCACTAGTTAATGGAATGGGTAGGTTTGAATTAATTTGTGATTTTGGTGTCATCTTTTTAACTGTGAGAAATGTGGTCTGCAAAGACAATGTCCAAACAAAAGGCATCCATTTCTGTTGTTGTTGTTTTTTTTTTTCCCCCAGAAAGGTTTGGTTTAAGAAGAGAATCTTAAGTCAAACCTCATTAGACAATATAAAACGAAGCATTGAGTAATGAGGTAGTGGGTCTGGTCAGTGTCTCGACCAGAGTCTGAGTCTGGTGACATGGTTTTTCTGAAGAGCAGTGGCCCTCATACCCTTGCTGATGTAGATGATGACAGAATTGTAAAGAGCATGAATCTGGTGAGCAGCCAGGGGATTTGTTGTTGCTTATATCAGAGAATAAACCTGGTAGCTTGATTTCAGGGGTGATGGTGAAAAGTTAATCAAAAGCGTGTTGGAAAGATTTTAGGAGTTCTGTTGTAAAGTTATAACATTTCTATATCTTACTCCTTAATTCCATTTAAATCTGACAAACAAGATTTATTACTTAACTTTGAAGTAGCTGAATTAATGTGGAAAAGACTGTCAGGGTTTTCTTTTTGCCCTTAAAATGGAAAGTCTTTGTTAATGTCTATATAACACAAACAAGTTTGGGAGTCTTAGGTCAAGGAGTCTTAATCTTGTTATTGTTCTAATAACACTATAAGCAGTTGACTGACTCATAGAATTTTTTATTGGACTGGGTACACATGCCTGCTATGAGGAATTCTCCCTGAAAACTGCAAAACAGTCTGATATTTCTGAGAATTCTGTTAATTTGATAGTGTAGGGTGGTGGGGTTTCTATTAGAATTATCTAGGTAATTATATTATACTCCTTAAAAAAATTTTAATTTTTTAAAATTAATTAATTTATTTGGAGGCCAATTACTTTACAATATTGTAGTGGTTTTTGTCATACATCAACATGAATCAGCCACGAGTGCACATGTGTTCCCCATCCTGAACTCCCCTCCTACCTCCCTCCCCATCCCATCCCCCAGGGTCATCCCAGTGCACCCGCCCTGAGCACCCTGTCTCAGGCATCAAACCTGGACAGGCGATCCACTTCACATACGATAATATACACGTTTCAACACTACCCTCTCAAATCATCCCACCCTTGCCTTCTCCCACAGAGTCCAAAATACTGTGCTTTACATCTGTGTTATGTTTTGCATATAGAGTCATCATTTCCATCTTTCTAAATTCCACATATATGCATTAGTATACTGTATTGGTGTTTTTCTTCCTGACTTACTTCACTCTGTATAATAGGCTCCAGTTTCATCTACCTCATTAGAACTGATTCAAATGCATTCTTTTTCATGGCTGAGTAATATTCCATTGTGCATATGTACCACAGCTTTCTTAACCATTCATCTGCTGATTAATCCACAGAGCTTGTTGAAGATTCTTTGAGGGTGTGATGTTTCAAAGGATCCACAGAGGTCGCCACTTTTCTTCCACTGTCCAGGGCCTATCTAGCCCTTATGGTGGCCCCACCATCACCACCACACCCAAGAATAAAAGAAAATAAAGGGTGGGATGACGAGAAGGAATCAGTTCAACATGGGAGAGAGTAGAGACAAGGGTGAGCAAAGTTGAAGGGAGACAGGACAAGAGCATTCCAGAGGCATTTTCACCTTCAGAGCAAAGCTGGAATGAATTTGAATCAAAAGAGCAAAGGCAATCCTGGAATTTTACCTTGTTTTATTCCATCTTAAACTTACTTTAAAGGATACTTCTACCAAGTATATTTTACGAAAACAAAATGCAAACTAGAAGGCGTTATCTAAGGTATTTTTAATGCTTTCATTTAACATGTACATAACATGCACATACATGTGATGATTGTTATAAAAATACTCACCTGAGTTCATTTGCTAATATAGTGTGGCTTCAACCATACCCTCAGATTTACTCTTTGCCATTTTCAAAATTGTTTTACCCTCATGGACCAAAACCCCAAGAAAATATTGTCCTTAGATATAGAACTAAATGGTTGTATTATCTGTTATTGAGGTTGTGGTGTTTTTTTTTTTTGTTTGTTTGTTTTCCAGCACAAGGCAGACTTTATTGATCAGTCCTAAGTTAAAGCTTCTCAGGTGGCACAGTTGGTAAAGAATCCGTTTGCAGTGCAGAGACACAAGAGACAAGGGTTCGGTCCCTGGGTTGGGAAGATCCCCTGAAGGAGGAAATGGCAACTCACTCCAGTATTCTTGCCTGGGAAATCCCTTGGACAGAGGAGCCTGGCTGGCTACAATCCGTCGGGTCACATAGAGTAGGACAGGCCTGAGCACAAGCTGCACATAAGTCAAAGATACCAAAACTTAGAGGGTAGTGACCCAAATCACCACCTGATGGGACCAGCCTCTCAGGGAGAAGCTCACATGTACTTAAGTTGGAACTTAAGTCACATGTACTTAAGTTCCAACTTAAGTTGGACTCTTTGATTCTGTGACACAGGGTGTCCAGTATACAGCAACTTAGAATACCAGGGCTCAATTAGAATTAAAAAATATTTTGGGGGGAAATATTTATAGATCTGTAGGAAATTGCAAAGATATCACAGAGAACATCTCTATACCTTCACCCACTCCCCTCCTCCACCACTGGGAGGAGGTTACCTCTTGAGTAAAGTATGGTATCAGAACTAGGAAGCTGATGCTGATACGAAGCATGGGGATGGTCTTGCCCTGTTACTGAATGTGCAGATCTGTGTCATCACCACCACAATCAAGACACACAACTAATCCATCACCACAAGTTTCTCCCTTGCCATAACCTTTGTGGTCTCGCTCATCTCCTTCCGCCCCAGCATTCCTAAGCCCTGGTGTTAATTTGTTCCCCATCTCTATAGTTTTGCCACTGTGAAGATGCTATGCAATTGGAATCATATGGGAAATTACACAGTGGCTTTTTCATACTGGATTTTCCTCACTTGCCATGATGTCCTTTAACTCTCTCCAAGTTGTTCGGTTCTTTTTCATTCGTGTGCATTCCTGCATATTGCAGGTTGGTATTCCATGGAATGGGTTCATTTAACTCTTCACCTAGTATAGGACATTTTTGTTGTTTCCAGTTTGGAGCTATTTCAGATAAAGCTGCCGTGAACAAGCATATATGGGATTTTGTGTGGACAGTTTTAATTTCTCATCAATAAATGCCCAGAAGGGAAGTTGCTGTGTCATATGGTAAGTGGATGTCTAGTGTTTTTTAGCAAACTGTCAAACTGATTTCCAACATGACCAGACCATTTTACATTCTCACCGGCAGTGTATGAGAAACCCAGTTTCTCTGCATCCTCACCAGCTTTTGGTACTGTCACTGTTTTTTAATTTTAGTTATTCTAACTTTTATTCTAACAGAAATCACAGCAGGATCCTCTATGACCCACCTCCCAGAATACTGGAAATAAAAGCAAAAATAAACAAATGGGACCTAATGAAACTTAAAAGCTTTTGCACAACAAAGGAAACTATAAGCAAGGTGAAAAGACAGCCCTCAGATTGGGAGAAAATAATAGCAAACGAAGCAACA